TTGGCTGAGTCTCTCTGAAATGCACACTGAAACCTTGTAAATAACTAAATTAATAATAATACCATTTCAGTTATGTCCTCTGGGATGCTCCAGGATATGTCTGAACAAAGACTTAAAGAGGTAGGTCAAATCTGACTCCACTTTCCACCCCTAACCTCTGTGAATCACATATTTAACTATGTAAGAATTATCATTAAAATCTACATCCATCATACAACCTGCACTCACATCAATAAAACCAACCAAACAAAGCAAGACAAAAATTGCCCACACAAAAATCAAAATAATATCATCACAACACAGAACAAAAATTGGCAATTCAAACAAAATCCATCCCTTGTGCCTTCACCACAATTACAGCAGAAATTCATCATGAACATTCAGCACTCTAACATTGTTCAGTCCATGTTTTCCCCAAACTTTCCTAGCTACCATCCTTATCTCAAAACCATCATGACCCCAGGTTTCAAGACCAAAAAGACTGTGATGGGTTGACCCTGGCTGGATGCCAGACACCCACCAAAGTCACTCTGTCACTCCCCTCCTCAGGTGGACAGGGGAGAGAAAATATAACAAATGGTTCATGAGTCAAGATAAGGACAGGGAAAGATCACTCATCAAATACTGTCATGGGCGAAACAGGCTGAACTTGGGGATATTAATTGAATTTATTACTAACAAAATCAGAGCAGAATAATGAGAAGTAAAAATAAATTGTGAAAATAACTTCCTCCCACCCTTTCCTCTTTCCCAGCCCTCCCTCCTCCCCCCCAGTGGCACAGGGAGATGGGCAATGGGGGTTATGGTCAGTTCATCACACCTTGCTCCTGCCACTGCTCAGGGAGAGGAGTCCTTCCCCTGCTCCAGTGGGGGATTCCTCCCATGGGAGATTGTTTCCATGAACTTCTCCAGCATGAGTCCATCCCACAGGAATCAGTTCTCCATAAACTGCATCACTGTGGGTCACTCTCCCACAGGGTCAGTCCCTCGGGCACAGCCTGCTCCAGCCTGGGTCCCCCACAGGGTCACAAGTCCTGCCAGGAAACCTGCTCCAGGGTGGGCTCCTCTCTGCACAGCTCTGCAGCTCCCAGCCAGGACCCTGCTCCAGCACAGGCCTCCCATGGGTTCACAGCCTCCTCTCAGCATCCCCCTGCTCCATTTTGGGTCCCCTCCATGGGCTGCAGGTGGATCTCTGCATCCCTGTGCCCTCCAGGGGCTGCAGGGCACAGCTGCCTCACCCCGGTCTCACCAGGGGCTGCAGGGGAATCTCAGCTCCAGCCCCTGGAGCAGCTCCTGCCGCTCCCTCTGCTCTGGCCTTGGTGTCTGCAGGGCTGCTCCTCTCATGTTCTCACCCTGCTCCTCTCTGCCTGCAATTACATCTGCACTGGAACTTGTTTTCCTTCTTGGATTTGTTATCCCAGAGGTGTTACTGCCTTTTCTGACTGGCCCAGCCCTGGCCAGCAGCGGCTCCGTCCTGGAGCCATCAGGGGTTGGCTCTGCTGGACATGGGGGAGGCTTCCAGCACCTTCTCACAGAAACCACCCCTGTAGTCCCCCTGCTTCCAAAACCAGGCCATGCAAACCCAACACAGAAGCAATGTTTTAGTCACAACCACTTGCTGGCTGCTTTGAGGGCTGTGCAGTGCATTGCTGCCTCTGACACGTTTCTTAGGGGACAGATGCTTTAGAGAGTGTGTGAAGGATTAGTTGAGGCTGTTTGCTTTCATTGTGTTTGTGCTCCTTTATAACATGTAATGCTGAAAGTTAAGCCTATACAAAGAGCACTGCACGCTTGATGTTTCTCACATGGATGGTTACACTTTCTCCAGTATTCATGGCCAGCAGTATTGTGCAGCTCAGGTCCCTTCCCAGGAGCAAATCTGTTCTTCAGTTCCATTATCTCTCTAGTACTGACACTGAGCTAGTGGGTGGAATTAAGTGATCTTGGTCTCCCTTTTCTTCTAGGGTTTTTATGTTTACATCAGCAAACATCAATACCCAGTATTTAGTACAAGGTCTACTGTTCAGTTTGAGCCACCTGCCCTACAGTAATAAAAAGCTAATTCTTAAGTGTAAGAGAGTCGGTCATTATACTACTACCAACGTAGTTTGATTTTTTTTTTATATAATTGTGTATTTAAGAGGTTGAGTGGGATTTTTTTGCACTGTTTTGGGGGGTTGCTTGGGTGGTTTTGTATTTATTTTTTTTTTATACTCTTCTTTTCTTTACAGAGCTTTCTTTACTAATACAAACTGAAGTTACCTCACAGGTTTCAGTATGAAATGCAAAATGCTCTATCAGTAAGTAATACCACTACAACCAACTCAAAAAGGCTTCCACAAAAGAAAAGTCTCAAACAGCATATGTGACATGACAATATTTATTGATTCTAATTAAGGTTAAAAAAATTTCACAGCTGTCAGATAAAAATATCTGCAGAGCCTATTGAAAAGGGAGCAGAAGAAGGAAACCAAGTGAGACAGTCACCACAGAGGCACTTTAGAAAATGCTACGGTTATAAAAGGCACAAATTCATCACACACACAGCATATATATATACTCCTGCAAAGTGAATTCACTCTTATTTAATTTTTTTTCCAAAACACAGAGGCAGGCACCACGGAGCACTGACCTGCACACAACCACAGCAGACACGCTATAAGCGGCAGTCTATGACTACGCCTAAACAAATTCACTGGAGAGACACTTGGAAAGCCAGGCTGCTTTGGCCATCCCATTTTTACAATCTGTTCTTCAACAGAAGGAAGATCACCTTGATCTTGAGGTGGTGGAGACAGGAGAGGGACTGTTAGATCACCTGAACACAGGTCAGGTTTATTTGTGAACGTTTGTCACCTGTGATTTGAGGGGGTTTGCTTCTTACCCAAGAGCAGATCTGTTATTTAATCTTGACTCCCTAGTACTTCTGGAGGTCACCCAATTCCTTCTTCCTCAAAAATATTACTTTTTCATGTCTCAAAAAAGGTAGAAAAAAAAAACCCTTAAAATTTCTGCACATCTGTAAAGCCTACTTCAGTGAAACAACAGTCCCACTGTGGAAACAAAGATTTCTTTAAGCCTCATAGTTTCTTTTTCAGGCCATGGGTTCCACTGATGAACAGTGCTCAGAGAGGTACTTAATTACATGATTAATGTCTTCTTATTGAGAGCAGATGTGCTATTTGGAATCAGATTTTGTGATTTGGAATCAAGATCTGCACTGGGGGAAAAAAATGCACAAATTAAATGGAAGACAAGGGGGCTGCCTCAGATTGCTTACATCCTTGTTATTGTTGAGTAGTTTATACAATTAGATTTCAAGTACTTTTGTTAACACAGATTTCTATGCCATGACCGTAATAGACAAATACAGTTATTTCCATGGTTGTTCCTACTGTATATTTTACAAAGCTGGTAAACTCTTGGAACTTTCATGATACCAGTTGTTTCATCAAATGGGTTAATAAATGAAGAATACAGCACAACTGGTTATCCATTAAAACAGACTTCATTCCTCTCTTCAAAGGGTTGGCATGGATTTTAATTTCAAAAATGTAAGCCGGTGCTAACAGTTCCCTCTACCCATAGGGAAGCAGCTTGATTCTCTGCCTCAATTCCCTCATCAAACTGGCATCCATGTACACAAGGTGCTGTGTATTCCTTTTGTGTGGAAAACGTTGAGAAAACAGTGGCAAATCCTTTCTTTAATCCCATAGTGGTGGCAAGGTCCTCAGCACAATCACAGCAAGACACGGCTGTAAAGACAGAGAGAGCTTTCCTAAAGCTTTGGCAGTCTGCAAGGAAGAACACAGAGACTTCAGAGTGTTAATACAAATGTCACAATTCAGACCTCACAGCTCCAACCAGATTTGATTAGAAATCTCAGGGAATCCAAAGTTATTTGGAGATTCCCTGCCTCTCCTACTGTGGCAGAATAAGATGAGAAATGCTTTGTGGGTTTGCTTTATTTGTTTTTCCATTTCTCTTTTGCTTTGAAACTAAGAATAAGAAAGGTAAGTATAGAAACTTTTTGAGGTTGTTTTTTTGTTTTAAATTGGCCAATCTCATGGAAAGCTTAGGTTATGATTCTGTTCAGTTCTAACTATCTAATTTCTGGTTTTGATTGGAATTTCTCCCCCTGTGGCACACAACATGATTTTGTTAAACTGGGAAAAATTTCTGCCAGATTCAGGAGCAAAGAAGAGAGAAATGCATTTTGAATGTGAACAAAACTGATTTATCCTCATTAGTTTCATGAATTTGCTCCCCTTTAGAGAATGTGGAATATTTCTAGGGCAGAAGCAGGACCTGAATTCCAAGCAGTTTTGGCAGAAAAATCATCTGCAAATACAACAACTCTTTATATG